TCTTCTCCAAACGTACCTTTGCTCATTCCGGCCAAAAAGTTCAATTTTAACCTCATCGGTCCACAGAACTTGTTTCCAAAATGCATCAGGCTTGTCTATATGTTCATTTGCAAAGCTCAAACGATGATTTTTGTGGTGAGGACGTAGAAGAGGTTTTCTTCTGATGACTCTTCCATGAAGACCATATTTGTACAAGTATCTCTTTATAGTGGAATAGTGACCACAACTCCAGTGTCTGCCAGATCTTTCTGGAGGGATCGTGCAGTCAAACGTGGGTTTGGAATTGTTTTTCTCACAATCCTGCGAGCTGTTCTGTCTGATATTTTTCTTGGTCTTCCAGATCTTGCTTTAACTTCCACTGTTCCTGATGACTGCCATTTCTTAATTACATTCCGATAAGAGGATACTGACATCTGAAAACACTTTGTTATCTTCTTATAGCCTTCGCCAGCTTTGTGAGCGTCAACTATTTTCAGTTTCAGTTTTCTAGACAACTGCTTAGAAGAACCCATGGTGCTGATTGTTGGGGCAAGGTCAGATGAGTCTGGGCATTTAAAACCTTTGAGATTGACATCACCTGGTCTTCCCAGACGATGATTGAGAACAATCCATGACACTGGCAGATCTCAGCTTTGCAAAGGGGGCAGTGCATGCTATAAATTCTGCAGGGGGCCCAAACTTTCGATCCCCACTGTATATATATATACACACACTATGTTGAAGTGCGTTTTTATTACAAAATATATGAAAAATATTTTTAAAAATACATTTTCAAACATACTATATGTCTTTAAAAATACCTTTAATTTACATTTTTGGAATGCATTTACAACTATATGTAAATATATATGTTATGTTAATATATATGTTAAAATGACTTTTTTGACGTTAAAAAAATCTGAAGAATATTTGTAAAAAAAATATATAGTTTTTAAAATATGTATCATATATATATATATATATATATATATATATATATATATAAATATATATAAAAGTTTTTGTTTTTTTTTTTTATTGAAATATATTATGAAATATATTGAATATGGCCAAAATGTTTATATTTGGGAAGAATATTTTAAAAATATATTTCAAATATATTTTTCTTCCACATGGGTGACTAAAGCCACGGTATCCTATTAGAAATGAAAAGGGTGAAGGTCTGAGACATTCAAATAAAACATAGAAATTTTTATTTATTTATTTTTTGCGCTCATGCAGGTCGACAATAAGGCAGATTATTACTTTTTCTCTGAGGTTATTTGGCCATGGTGTGGGGGAGGGGGGTGCGGGGGGAGGGGGGGGGGGAAAGAGTCTTTCACTAAAGATCAGCTATTTTTAGTTATTTTGATTCTATATTCTGAAAGAACAATAGGACGATCAGGGATTCAGGAAGGACCCCCGATGCGCACCGGGAGCGTAAATACGCTGAACATTCACTCGCTTTCCTTAGACAGAAAATGTATTCACAATGGAAGGGGCTTTCTGGTTCTACAGATGTAAATGATGTCATCGGGCCGAGTCCACGACACCCTGCGCTGACTGCAGAGAGAGGAATCCAATGTCGGTGGTATAATGCCAATGGCAGAGTCACGCATGGACGTCGCACATGGCGGGAGGATGCGCAAAACTAAGTGTGGTGCTTGCAGAAGCAATTATATTGAATGGATGCAACACCACACATCGCACTTGTGTTTTACTGCACCAATACTGTCACTCGTTCACACCTGTCCCATTGGGTTGTGGTGGGCAGCACTATTCCTCCCACTGACACCAACAACAGGGTACTATTCCTTCCACTGACACCAATGATGGGGCACTATTCCTACCACTGACACCATGATGGGGCACTATTCCTCCCACTGATACCAATGATGGGACACTTTCTCCCACTGACACCAATGATGGGGCACTATTCCTCCCACTGACACCAATGATGGGGCACTATTCCTCCCACTGACACCAATGATGGGACACTATTCCTCCCACTGATACCAATGGTGGGGCACTATTCCTCCCACTGATACCAATGATGGGGCACTATTCCTCCCACTGATACCAATGATGGGGCACTATTCATCCCACTGACACCAATGGTGGGGCACTATTCCTCCCACTGACACCAATGATGGGGCACTATTCCTCCCACTGACACCAATGATGGGGCACTATTCCTCCCACTGATACCAATGATGGGGCACTATTCCTCCCACTGACACCAATGATGGGGCACTATTCCTCCCACTGATACCAATGATGGGGCACTATTCCTCCCACTGACACCAATGATGGGGCACTATTCCTCCCACTGACACCAATGATGGGGCACTATTCCTCCCACTGACACCAATGATGGGGCACTATTCCTCCCACTGACACCAATGATGGAGCACTATTCCTCCCACTGACACCAATGATGGGGCACTATTCCTCCCACTGACACCAATGATGGAGCACTATTCCTCCCACTGATACCAATGATGGGGCACTATTCCTCCCACTGACACCAATGATGGGACACTATTCCTCCCACTGACACCAATGATGGGGCACTATTCCTCCCACTGACACCAATGATGGTGCACTATTCCTCCCCACTGACACCAATGATGGGGCACTATTCCTCCCACTGACACCAATGATGAGGCACTATTCCTCCCACTGACACCAATGATGGGACACCATTACTCCCACTGACACCAATGATGGGGCACTATTCCTCCCACTGACACCAATGATGGGGCACTATTCCTCCCACTGACACCAATGATGGGACACTATTCCTCCCACTGACACCAATGATGGGGCACTATTCCTCCCACGGATACCAATGATGGGACACTATTCCTCCCACTGACACCAATGATGGGGCACTATTCCTCCCACTGACACCAATGATGGGGCACTATTCCTCCCACTGACACCAATGATGGGGGAACTATTCCTCCCACTGACACCAATGATGGGGCACTATTCCTCCCATGATACCAATGATGGAGCACTATTCCTCCCACTGATACCAATGATGGGGCACTATTCCCCCCACTGACACCAATGATGGAGCATTATTACTCCCACTGACACCAATGATGGAGCACTATTCCTCCACTGACACCAATGATGGGACACTATTACCCCCACTGACACCAATGATGGGACACTATTCCCCCCACTGACACCAATGATGGGACACTATTCCCCCCACTGACACCAATGATGGGACACTATTCCTCCCACTGACACCAATGATGGGACACTATTCCCCCCACTGACACCAATGATGGGGCACTATTCCTCCCACTGATACCAATGATGGGGCAATATTCCTCCCACTGACACCAATGATGGGGCACAGAACCGCTGGGGCACCGATTTTTAACCACACAGAGGTCCCGTACAGCGACAGGTAGCGCGCACAGGCTAAAATGGCGAGCGCCATTTATGAACGGCAATGGAGTGGAAGGATTACAAAGCGTGCGGCCGGCTTTACAACCCACTCAGTATTAATTAAATATTTTCCAAAACTCGCAGCTTCCATCAGCCCCCCTGCACACAGGTTTCTGTAGCGATTTTTACAATCAGGTCTCCGCAGCCCTGCGACATAACTCAGAGCACCTTCATCAAGCAACCCAACCAAAGAAAAAAAAAATCGACATCATCTGCAGGCTGAGCTTTATAACAGAAGTTCCCAGCATGCTCTGTTTATTAACCCCTTCCTGCGATTTACAACCCAGCGTTTCCTATGGCTGTGCTCAGGCTCTGCTGACAGGTCGTGTTTTCTGGATATCCACACAGGGAAGGCAATTAGCAATGCTGAGATAACGGTCGGCACCTGAAAAAGCCAAGTTTCCTGCAAGACACAAGTGCGGCTTTGTAATCATTCGATTTTTCAGCGCCATTCGGATGTTCGATTTCCTTGCCGCTTCCAACTTCAAAACAAGTCGCAAAGAAATTGCACAAAAGTAGCGCGGGAGCCTCGAGTCGCATATGAGCTGTTCCATTGCTGCAAATAGGGGTGCGACTTGTCATGCGGATTTGAACTGTAACATCAAGTGACAAATCGCATCAGTGTGAACCGGGCTAGGGCGGCCATACACGGGTCGAATTTCGACCGATTTTTCATCCGGACCTAAGAATAATCAGCCGATTATCTCTTCTTAGTGGGGTCAATGGCACCGGATGATTTTCGAGGTTCCTCCCCTTTTCGGTGATCAGGCATGTTGGAAAATTTGTGGAAAACGACCGATTTTCGACTCAATGATGGTCAAATTGTACGATCGTTTTTCTGAAAAGAATATGCGTGACCAGGGGCGGACTGACAACTCATGGGGTCTCCGGGCAATAGGGGATCATGGGGCCCCTGTGTCCTTGCCCAAACTCAAAAAAAGCCTATGAAAAAGGTACCAGGGGCATCTCATGGGGCCCCCTACTGATCATGGGCCCTCGGGCAGTGCCTGAGTTTCCAAATGGTCAGTCCGGCCCTGTGCGTGACCTGGAAGGAACAGACAGAAGTTTCGCCTGTTATATGGGATGACGTTCATGATTCGGTTGGCCGATTTTCTTAATCATTGGCGGCACCGTCAGATTACCAAGCGAACGACATTTTTGGATGAAAAATCGTTCAGAATACTAACCATGTATGGCCTGAATTAGAGGGGCTACAGGTTTCAGAGACACAGGCAACCTGCAGTGACCCCCATCATCAGATCATTCATTTCAACAACAATCTTCCCATAGGATTAGATAAGCTTTGGTCGGATCACACTATAGAAACGCAGTCCAGACGCATTCACTATGTCCGCTCTCCCCGGACCCCGCATTCACTATATCCGCTCTCCCCAGACCCCGCATTCACTATATCCGCTCTCCCCGGACCCCGCATCGCTATATCCGCTCTCCCCGGACCCCGCATTCACTATATCCGCTCTCCCGGACCCCGCATTCACTATATCCCCTCTCCCCGGACCCGCATTCACTATATCCGCTCTCCCAGACCCCGC